GAGAGAGAGAGAGAGAGAGAGAGAGAGATCCTTGTAGCTGATGTCTGGGGCACTTTGCAGTATCACTGGAGTGTGTGTGTGTGTGTGTGATCCTTGTAGCTGATGTGTGCCCAGGGACCTCACCCAAGAGATGAGTTGAGGATTAGGCAGAGGGCTGCCCATGGGGCTGCCCCGGCCTGAGCACCCGCTGGTCCCACAGTGGGTGAGGTCATTGTCCTTGTTGACCTTGATCCCCCAGAGCCAGCCCCGTGTAGAGCTGGACAGCAGGGTAATGCTGGCATGAGCACCCACCACCCTCACCCCTCGGGGGTCCCTGAGCATCTAGTCAGACCCAGGTCTCTGAGACTACCTCTGCACCCCTCAGTTCGCACATCCACCTTGAGTTGTCTTTGCAGGTGGGAGATTCACATGGCCTGAGCATGGTGGCCAGCCTGCTGGGAGGTGGTGGTAGTGGCTCTGTGTGTGTGTGTGTGTGTGTGTGTGTGTGGTGTGCAAGGCCTCACTCCCCTGAATGGCCCAGTCTCCAGCTGGGGTGCACAAACACAGGACCCTTCCAGGCTGGGGCCAGCCACCCTGGTGAAGGCAGTTTCTGGGCAGAAAAGTGATTTCCTCCTGTCCCGGGGAAAGTGGTTTGCACTGTAGGGGAGAAATCGAAAGGGGCTGCTTTGCACACTCCAGGGTAGGTAGGCTGGCAAGGGTCTACTGCTAGAACCCAACCTGCACCAAGATGGAGACTTAACACTAAATCCATTGGACAGGAAAGCAAATGGAAATGGAAGCCATCAACCTGTGAAAATATATTGGTATTTTGTGTTTGTGAAAGGAACGTGTATGGGTTGCAAGATATGGGAAAGTATATACCATGTGTGTTGTTTGTGTAAAAATATAGTATCTATTTTTATTCAGGAAGGTGAAGCTTTAGGCTCTAGCCAAATACCAGCTGCTGCCTGATGGCTGCTAACTGCTGTGGGAGCAGCATTCATAGCTCAGGTAATGTCTGTCTTCCGCGGGAGCTGGACAAGGTGCACCACGAGGACTTCCTTAAAAAATTGTTTCTGAGCTGAATGATTTCCCATGGAAGAAAGTTGTCATGCTTTGGGGGGTCATTTGGACCTAATTTACCTGTTAACGCACATTCTGGGTGAGACCAGGAAGCGCTGTCCAGAGACCTGCTGAATGCTGACAGCAATGACCCTCCTTCTCTAAAGGGATCTCAACGTTTAAGGCGCAGTAGCAACAAGAGGTGGGGGGGGGGGGGGGGGGCTGTCTGATGCTTGCTGGAGGTTTTCCATTTGGATTGGTGAAAACTTGCTCCCCGTGGGGCACTAGCTTGAAGATTGGCGAGGCCCCTCGTGCTGTGGTTTCCTAGGCTGCTGTTGCACAGTAACACATGTTGGTGGCTCAGAGGAGCTGACATTTCTTGTCTCACAGTTATGCAGGCTTGGAGTCCCAATCCACTGTGTTGGCAGGGCCACGCTCTCGCCAAAGGCTCCAGGGGAGGCTCCGTTTTTATCTGCTTCTGGGGACCTCCAGACCTTTCTTGGCTGGCAGCTGCAGCATCAAACTAACCTCTGGTGCTGCGAACCCTGTGCTGTCTTCTCTGTCTCAGAGCCTCTTCTTTTTTATAGGACCTCTCTCAGGGGACGCAGCGTTGAGCTGCTATCTGCAAGGTGGGCAGTTTGAAACCACCAGCCGCTGCTCAGGAGAAAGAGGAGCTTTCTACTCCCGTAAACAGTGAACGCCTTGGGAACTCACAGGGGCATTTCTATCCTGTCCTGTAGGAGAGGGCAGTCTCCTTTTGTATCAATTGGAAAAGCCTATGGATGCGGTTCTACTCTGTTGACTCAATGGCCTTGTTTTTTTGTTTTATTTTCTATCTCTGCCCTCCACTTTAGTTACTCTCAGGTGATGCATCACAGCTTGAGTGTTATTTGGGCCTGGCAGACCCATGCCCTCTGGCGCATTATAGACCTAAGAGTTGGATTCCTTGTTTGTATTTTATCTCCAGGTCATTGTTTAGCATAGTACCCAGCACAGAGAAAGTTGGTAGCCATAGTCACAGGAGACCAAGGGAGGCCCAGCATCCAGTCAAGGCTCAATGACAAAGCCAGGAGGCCCCCAAGTGCCCCTCTTCTGAATGTGCAGGGGTTCCCCAAGATACAATGGTGGTAGCAATAACATGAGCATCAGAACCAGTCTAATGTCAGGGGGAATCACGTAAGTCAAGATCATGCCAAGGCTGTTCCCTAGCACGGGGAGATCAGACAACCTTCACTTGCCTTTTTTTTTTTTTTTAACCAATCCTGGCACCCCCAGCGCTCTCCATGTCTCTGCTGGGTTTGATACTTTGTTGCCAGGAACACACGGAAACCACAGACCACACCTGTAGCTGAGTGGCTTATTAAGGAACAGGGTGCAACGTGAAATCAGAATCGACGGGCTACCAGGGCCAGGAAGTGCATAGGCACAGTCTCTCTTCTTCAGGGCAGGACAGCTCTCCCAGCCTTCGGAAGACAGATTCCTCCCTGCCCAGCCCTTCCCCACCCAGCACAGGCTAGTCTTAGCTTTATGTGTTTCTCCCCAGGCTCTGCCACCCGTGTCCCTTCAGGGACCGCCTGGGTCTTCAGTTCCAGTTCTTGACATGTTACAGCTGTTTGAGGACATTCCTTGCCTCTTCCCGGTTCCTGCTTCTCCTCTCTTCTTCCTCCCTTCTCCTGCTTCTCTGCCCACTTCTGTTTCTCAGCCTCTGAGGGGCTGGTGGTTTAAGGACCCAAATTGTCCCCTTCAAGGCTTGGCACTCCCGAAAGGACCGTGAACTGAATTGACTAAGCCCCTCTCAATATGCCATACACACCTCATTTGCATGGCTTATTGACCAATCCCAGCAAGATGCATACGATCACAGGGCAGGCTGCTGCTCAGGGCCGGACAAAAGGCATCGAGCCAAGTTGTTTAGAGCTTACCCAGAGCGTGCCAATCACCCGGGACAAAAATAACGGCAACTCTGGGTAGAAAACCAGGGCAAAGGTAACTCCCCGGAGCGTATGGGAAAGAAAAAAAAAAATCTCTCAAGCTGTTTCTCCAAAGAACCAAAGCAAACGGCCGAATAAAGACACTCATTTCACCGTGAACTGCCTGCACGTGAGCTCAGACCTCTCGCCAGTTTGCGGAGAGTCCGTCCGTTGACTGGGGCCTAGCCTCCCCTCAGCCTGCTCAGCCAGAGGAAGAAGGGAGAGGAGCCCCTTTGGGGGCGGTGCAGAATTCAGGGTGAGAGAGGCTCCTTCTCTTCCTACATACGTTGTCTGCCTCAAGCCAAAATCAGGGTGCTTTAAGAGAGTAATTCTTTAAGATGAGAGGGGTCCGTCTTGCAGGTAAGCTGGAGCAGGTCCAGGTAGTTCTTAAGTCCAAGACTCAACAACCAACACCTCGCTGACATCAAGTTGATCCCTACTCATAGCAGCCCTGTGGTGGGGGGGGCGGGGCAGAACCTGCCCTGTGGGTTTCTGAGACGGTGACATTTTACAGGAGCAGAAAGCCTCATCTTTCTCCCTCGGAATGCCTGGTGGTTTTGAACTGCTGACTTTGCAGTTATCAGCCCCATGCATAAGCACTAGGCCCCCAGAGTAGATGACTAGCTTCTGACCAAAAAAAAAAAAAAATAGGCCCATCAAGTTTCTAGAGGTCATTCAACATCCCATGAAAGCAAACGCCCACTTCTCCTGGACCATGAGGGAAACCATGGGACCCCCACAGACACAATAATGCTCGGTTCTCACCTCTGCACAGAAATCTACAACAAAGACATTGGCCTTGCCTGAGGTCTGCCTGCACCCGCTTTTGTGAGTCCCATAAAAACTGTGTCGGCACCAGCAACCCACAGGTAGCATGGGTTTTGGCCTGGGTGATGCGGCTTAGCTGCTGACCCGGGAGGGAATGGCGTTATCACACAGACCACATCCTCTCCTCGGCTTCCCTTCATTTCATACCAAAGTAGAGGCAGCCCTTCGCCTTTCCAGCCGCCAGGAAACACCTGCAGACACCCACACGCTTCCAGTCGCCTCCTCGTCTACAGGAACCCTACCATAAACTTCGATCTGTCTGAACTGAAAGGACACAAAGGCAGACACAATCGCCAAATTGGGAAAACACCAACAAAAAGGAAGCCCGCACGCTCCAGCCCTAGCCCCTGGATCCCACTGATTTCTGTCCCCACGTCCCTGGAGTCTGGTACGACACGACTGGAGTCGGAGGAGCCTGACCAGGGAAGATGTTCATTTCGGCAACTCTCTCCAGACACGTGAGACGGCATGTTTACGAACCCTCAAGATTGAGATGGAATCGCACATCAATACTTGCCTGCGTTGGCAGCTGGGCTTCTTGATGATGAATAGGTAAGAGCCGACGGGTAGGTAACACCCTTTTTGGGTTTACCTTCTGCAAAAGAGAAAGAACATGATTTATTCCGACAGCGAGAAGTTTTAGATGATCCGTGGACTCCCTCCTTCCAATCTCTCTCTCCCGAGTTCAGTCCGATCAGTCTCCCTTGTGCTGAATTGTTGATGATGATCAGAAAGTCAGAGCGGCGCTTTGCCTTCCCAGAGTGCTTGCGTTTTAAGATTCTAATGGAAGCAATAAAATCCCTGGGATTCAGAAGGGCTTCACATTAGCCATCTTTATTTTACTCATCAAGAGGCTGCGTCTGCGAAGATGCTCATCCGTGTGGCTCTGCATGTCTTATGCAGGCTCCAGTTGAATCTAAAGTGCTTCTCCCTGGCTTTTAGGTGAGGGAACTTCTGTCCCTGGGCATGGCCTGTAACGACGGGGTGGGGGGCAGCGCTATGGGGCGGATGGCGACCTGCATCTTTCTCTGATCCTGTGTGCTCTGTTTGGGTTTGGTGACGCTCAGGCAATCTGGAGGGAGTCAAGACGGATTCGCATGGATTCGCCTGGCTAATAACCTTTGTTACTCCCTCAGGGATAAAGCGGTGGGCGGGAGGAATGGTAATGCATAGCATGAGAAATAATGGAGGCATTAAGAAAATAAAGTTATCAGGTGGTCAAGGCTGATTAGAGGGGCAACTGAGTCTGACAGGCAGGAAATGTTGCCTGAGAAGGCGACTGCCTGTAAAATCTTCCTCCAGTCCTGAAACGTCACCTGAGATACCACCTTTGTTTTGAAAGGAGAAGATGCAGGAAAAGGCCCTCAGTGTGAGGTGATTAGCCTGACTTGTTCACCACTGGATTCCCATGGCCTGGATTAGAGCTCACCAGGGGGTTGCGATTGGCTGTGAACCCGACGGTGGCTGGTTTGAAACCACCTAGCCTCGCTGTGGAAGAAAGATCCCAGTGATCTGCTTCTGTCTTGATTCCAGCCAAGAAAACCCTGTGGGGCACACCTAGCCTGTAACTCACGATGGGGCTGCCCTGGGCTAGAACCGGCTTGACAGTAATGGGATGGGCTGTGTTTTGTTTGGTGAGGCGTTTGGCATTTGGGGAGACCCCACGCTTGGCTGCTGATGGAGAAGTCAGAGGTTTGAATCCCCCAGCGGAGCCTCAGAAGAAAGGGCTGTCTATCTAAGAGAGCAAGGGAGCCTGATTAGTGATGCTACATGGTGGGGCTTGCCGTCCACAAGATGAAACAAAGTTTGTTCCAACTGTTGATGAAAACCTGCTCGGCTCTGTCCACCTCTGTCCTGTGTACACTCAAGCATTGGGAAGACAGCCCTGGGGAGCACTGCTCCCCTCTAACACACCGGGGTCACCTCATGGCTTTCATAGGTGCTCAGTAAATCATATTTATTGAACAAATGAATGTTGTTATAGTTCACGGGAGGGGAATCACTCACTATTGAATAGGCATTTCCGCTGTCCACCGGGGTAATGCCATTACAGGATGGGACCTGAGGGGGAGACAGGGAGGAACTGAGGCATGGGGGTTGAGGGTTGTGGAACAGAACCTGGTCCCTGATTTTGCCCAACAGCCTGTTGGCAGTAGAGTCAGGAAGCAGACAGAGCAACTAGGTTTTAGGGTCTGGGACTGGAAGTAGGAAAATGTAGGTTTCTGCTTCTGCTTTGCCATCAATGAACTGACTCAGTCCCTGTTGCTCTCGCTCCCGCTTCCTCACTCAGAAAATATGGGTCATGACATGATTCTACTCCCTACACAAGTTCTAAGAGGCTAGTGGGGGAGTGGGCAGGGGGCTAAAATGTTTGAGAACTGTATATCACCAAGCCTACTGCCATGTAGGCGATTTGCACTCATAGGGGCCTTCTAGAACTGCCCGTTTGGGTTTCTGAGACGGGAACTCTTGATGGGCACAGAAATCCTCATCTTTTCTTTGGGGTTTGAAGGTACCTTGCAGGATAGCAACCCAACTCCTGGCTCACTAGTGTACCAGGGCTCCTTAGACATCACCAAAGAGGGACATGATTTCTATTCTGGGGAAAAAACGAAACTCACTGCCATTGAGTTGACCCTTTAGGACAGAGCAGAACTGCCCCCATTGGATTTCTGAGATTGTAAATCTTTATGGGAGTAGAAAGTCTTATTTTTCTCCTGAGAAGCATCTGATGGTTTCGAACTGCTGACCTTGCTATTGTAGCCCAAGGAGTAACCCACGATGCTGCCAGGGCTCCTCTCTCTTTATTCAAAGCAGGGTTGGGTACAACGAGGGGGCTTGTTCCTGTCATCTCATTAAAATGACCTGGGGAGCTGATTCCATTGTCACCACGGGGACTCCAACTCAGGGTGACTCTGAGGACCACCACCCTTTAGGGTCCATAGTCCAGCGCCCACCATTTGTACCCTCCACGGACCTCTCTGAGGAACAGGATTTGGTATTTCCTGACTCGTGACTCAGGTCTGAGCCTGCAATACTAGAGGCTGTTTTACATCCATTGAAGTCCTCATGGCCATGCTTCATCACCCGAGCAAAGCACCGGCATCATTTCCCTGCGGTTGTCCTCCTCCTCCCGACTGGACTCCTATGACACTGTTTCTATTCAGAAGGAACGGGGGTGAGCTCACTAATCCGGAAGAGTGCTTTTAAGAACATGTGGCAGGATGAAGCTGTTCCTGGATCAGGGAAAGATCACCCTGACCAAAAGAACAGACAGCCCTCTTCTCCTGTTTGCCCAGCTCACATGGTCATTGATGGAAGGGGCACAACGACATGCAAAAATTGGAAATATGGGGGCGCGGGAGCCTTCAGAGTAGGATTCTGGCACACTCCAATTAAACTGGGTGGCCAGCCGCCACTGTGGAACGGGGCAGTGTGCCTCAGCGGCCCGGAGGCACTCTCATACTTCCTAGCTATGTGAGGAACACAATGTTTATTATCATTGGCAGACAGGATGGTTGGTTAGATATCACTAATTGGAATGAGGCGAGAGACGGAAGTTGAACTTTACAGGAAATAATCTCAGCAATTGATTTTCATTTGACAAACCCAAAATGTCTCTACTCTCATGAAATTACTTGTCTTTTAGACTTCAGTTGGGATTCTGGATTTGCAGGCAAGCACTTAAAGAGCGAGATGCTTGTATATAACCAGTATTTAACCAGGAGTTAGTTGATAAGGATTTGTGTGGAGGTGCTCCTTCTTCCGGTGTTCAACGGATGAGTATTCCAGACATTAGCATTTTCTAAGGCCTCTGAACTTGGTATCACAGGGCAAAGATCCATATGCTGTGGGGGATGTCCCCCCCCACACTTACATAGAAACCGGATTAATTTGTACCGTGGGAGGGTAGAGTTTGGCAGGTAGGAAGAAATAGGTGGACTGCTCAAATTGAGAAAATTCAAAAAGTCTGATTGTAGTCCTATTATAGCTCTGATGCTTGGGCAATAATGGCGCGTGGGGCCTGGGATGCCTGCGTGTATGTGAAAACCACCCGGATTGGAAGACCTGCTCTATTTGGATTGTTTGCTTTCCTGGTTTCAAATGGCCTTCCACAGCTGGTTTCTTCTCAGGAGAATCAAACATCTCCTCTTGTTGGAATATCAGAAAGATTGGCTGGAATCTAGATTAATATTCCACAGAAGTTTCTTGCAGAAGATAGGAGAGTCAAGGCCCACGCTTTATGTTCATTTTAGGGTGTATCTCAGGGGTGTTATGTCATTGGAGGTCACCCTCATAAAGCTGTGTTACAGACTTTTCTGTGTTTTGGTATATAAGACCCAGGATTGATAAACCTACAGGGACAGCAAGTTGAATAAGGGTTTCAGGGGACAGGCGTGTACAGTGGGGGGTGGGGGGTGGAGGGGGGTTAGGAGGGAGACGACATCAAGGAGTCCAGGAAGAAAAAGAAGGTTCGGAAACTGATTGTGGTAGCAATTGTATATTTCTGCTTGACGTGACTGAACTATGGGATGATACGATATATGTATTAACTCCCAATTAATGATACATTTTTAAAAAAAGAGTAAAAAAAAAGAGGTCTAAACTTTAGACACTAAGGCAAGGAAAGGATATATGAAAAGCTGAACTACAATTTCTTAAAAATTCTTCAGAGTAAGCCCCCGTGATCGTCAGATGACTCTTGAGAAAGTCGATCAAGAGGATCCCCTTAGAGTCCCCCATAAACCTGGAGTTGACCTCTGGCCTGAATGGAAGCAGTCCAGCAGACCCCTCAGCAGCCCCTGCTTGGACTGGCCTTTGCTTTGGAAGGCACCCTAGCATGACCAGGACGAGTGTAGCCCCGAGGCAACGTGGCTGCAGCCAGCCACTGACCGCAGAGATACGTTAAAGATGTTTTGGTTGGAATACATCTAGTGTCCATGACCTGGAGCCCTCGTAGCGGTGCTTTTTCAACGTACCCTCGTGTGCGGGGCTTCAGAAAGTTCCAGGGAAAAAGTAACTAAAAGATAACAGAATTTTCCCTGTTTTTGAAGCCCCTCATATTTCCAGGTTTGGTCTTGAGGCGATTGGTCACTGATAATTCTCGTTCATTCTGCTATGATCCTAATTCTCAGAAGCATGAATGCTTCCCATCTTGACGCACCGAGGAGGCCCGTGGGCCAACGCTGTCACACATTTTGTCCTGTGAGGTCACTTAACCCAAACTGAGCTTAACGTGTTTCTCTGAAGGTAGGAATACCTGAGATGACAAAGGACGCTGTCCATCGGGGAAGGGACAATGACTGGACACCATTGGAATAACTCCCTTTATACCCCGACTGTCCAGCCACTTTCCGAACAAGTATCTTCCCTCCGGAATGATCGAGCACACCACTAGGAAGAGAGAGAGGAAACAAGGTTAAGAGAACAATATTGTTTGATATGATCGATCAGCTATCAAATCAGCCTCCATCTTTCCCTACAGATAAAGGAGGCAGCCGGCTCCAGGGACAGTGCTTCCACGATACAGCCTGACACCGGGGCTCCCAGGGCGAACGCCTTTCTAATCATGAGGGATTGCTTCGTCAGTCAGGAATCCCGCTGTCTCCGTGCCTCAAATATCATTTTCTTGGTTTCCTCATCCCCACTAATTTCATTTATTTTTAAAATATTTTTTACTTAGAAATTGTATTGGAAAATATTTTTGTTGCAGTGAACGACGTATACCAAAAGCATTTACCATTTTTTAAACATGTTCAGCTCAGCGTCGTTGCGGTTACCCTATGTGCCACCTTCGCTTCTCTCTCTGTCCAAGTTTTCATCACTCGTAACAGAAATTCGGTACCTCTAGGGCTCACCTTCCGTTTCCTCCTCTCCTGTGCCCGACCAGTGTGAACAGACTCCGCTCTCTACACACCGGCCTATTTGCAATATTTCATGTAAGTGGGATCCTAGAACATCTTTCTTTTCCTATTTTGGAAATGAACTTGGTTGTCACTAAAGACTCCGAGTCCATTTCAGTTTTGCAGCCCCCACCCCCACCCGCTTTAACCACTCAGACCAGTATTTAGGAATCTGGAGGGATTTTATCATTATTATTATTATTATGGGTATTTATTTATTCATTCATTCATTTATGTATTATGGCTTTTAAAGGAGCACACTATGTAGTTATACAGGTTATCTCAACAAATGACATCCACAACGATCTCCCATTAAGCCCTCTGTAAATGTTGCTCCCTCTCTCCTCTCCCTTCACTGTTCTCTCCTTCCTCAATATCCTGTCCCTCCCCTCTCTCTGTTCCCAGCCCCATCCCTCGCCTCCTTGTCACCATCAAAGTCTTCTCTTCGGGTGCAAAAGCCACGTGTCTTCTCTTGTTTTTCCTTATCAATCATGGTAATATTAAATAGTTATCTTTGTAAGATTGACTTAAGTTTGCTAAGCATAATGTTCTCTGGTTCTGTCCATCTCCTGTGGTTGTTTTTTTATGGATGCCTATTAGTCATTGTATGAGTGTACCAGAGTTTGCTTAGCCATTCCTCCATAATCGGGGTCTTGGTAGTTTCCATGCGTTTCCACTATGGAAATTGCTACCCGTCACCACAGGTGTGCAAATGTCTGTTCCTGTTGTAGTCTTTCCTTCTTCAGGGTGGACACCCAGTAGAGAGATTGCTGGGTCGTAAGGGACTTGGGCTTGCATTTGTTTAAGGAATTGCCATACTGATTTCCGTAGTGGTTGTACAAGTCTGCAGTCCCTCCAGCAATGTCAGAGCGGTCCTGTGCTCTGAATTCTCTCCAGCATTGATTATTTTCTGTTTCACTGAATTTTGATAAAAATGATCATGTGAGGTGTGAAGACCTTGTAGTTTTAATTTGTATTTCTCTTATTGCTAATGAACTTGAACATTTCTTCTTATGATTCTTGTCTGGCCTGGATGTCGTCTTTGGTAAATTGTCTATTCATGTCTTGTGCCCATTTTTTGCTTGGATTCCTTTTCTTGTTAAGACATTGTAGTTGTCAATAGATTTTTGAGATTAGCTCTTTATCTGATGTATTATTATTATTTCCTTCACCTTAAGCTCTGGGTTCTTTTTAACTGATGAAGTCCTTTGATGTGCATCAATGTAGTATTTTTAGCAGGTTCCAGGTATTTGTTTTTGTCTTCTATTGTGTGGATATACTTCATTATGTTCAGTAGTATGTTTATACCTTGTGTTGAAGTCCTTAGTTTGTCCCCATTTTTTCATTGTTGGTGTATATAATTGTGTGGTTTATGTTTAAGTCTTTGATCCATTTTGAGTTCATTTTTGTACATCGTGTTAGGTCCTGCTTTCTTCTTTTGCAGGTGAAGATCCAGTTTTTCCAGCACCATTTGTTGAAAAGGCTCTCTCTTGTTCATTTAATGTGTTTTAGTCCTTTATCAAAGATTAAGTGTCTAAAGGCACTTGGTTGTATTTCTGGGTTCTTAATTCTAATCCATTGGTCTTCATAGGAGGGGGTATCCCCCTTAAAAATGGTAAAAAGCTCTTCTGGGCAGAGTTTTCATCGTATTCATTTTTCCCGCCAGACGAGCATCCAGCAACTGGCTCTGAGTTAGTGCACCCAGTGGCATTGCCTGGGAAAGTTCTCTGTGGTCACAGTACTTTTTTTTTAAAAAAGCAGTTTCCCTCAAACCTTGTTTTTTGTGATGGCTGATTTAAGAGAACTGCATGTGGGTGTAAATTTTGTTTCCTGTTACGGGAAAAATTCCACAGAAAGTGTTGTGCTGTTGAACACAGCTTACAAGGACAGCGCTATGGGAAAAATTCAAGTGTACCATTGGTTTTCTCATTTCAAAAAAGGTGAAATGTCGATTGATGACAAACCTTGTTCTGGACATCTGTCAACTTCCTGAATGAATGAAAATGTTGGCAAAATTTGTGCACTTGTGCTCAAAGACCGGTGATGACAGACCATTGAAGAGGTGGGGAAGTTATCGAGATGGTCTTGGAGTTGGTTCAGCGAATTTTAACGGAAGATTTGGGAATGAGCAGGGTCGCTGTGAAATGTGTGCCTCGGGTTCTAACTAACCAGGAAACAGGCTGTACTTTGAAAGAACAGCTCTGAAGTGACCCAGACTTTTTTTCTAAGGTCATGACTGGTGACGAGACAGGGTCCTATTCTTATAGCGAACATCAACTCCAAAGCAGACATCCACCAAGCCAGAGAAAGACACCATCGTCACCTTGCCTCCCCAAAGCTCGTCAAGTGAAATCAAAGATCAAGATGATGTTCATTTGTTTTTGTGATGTGATGGGGATAGTGCATTTGGAGTTCGTTCGACCAGGCCAGATGGTTTATCTAGCTTTCTATTTAGAGGTTCTGAAAAGATTGTGTAAGAGTGTGCGCCAAAAAAAAAAAGCCTGATTTGTGGCAGACGGGGGAAGGCACCTCCTCACGCAGCCATCTCAGTGAGCTGGTTTTTTTGGGCAAAAATCAGCATTCCTCTCTTGCCCCCCACACCTTATCCTGACCTCTCTCAGGGTGATTTCTTTTTTTTTTGCAAGTGAAGAGGGACATGAAAGGACAGCAGTTTGACGATGTAGGAGAAGTGAATTAAAAATGAGGAGGTACTGTCAGCCATTCAAACAGATGAGTTTTAAAAATGTTTCTAAGAATGGAATTATAGATTTGACAAATGTATTAAGTATAATGGAGAGTACTTTGAAGGCGATAAAGTTATTTTGTAAAAAAAATTTGAATACATAGCTTTGAAACAAATTTTAATTTTTTGGGGGGGGTACCCCCTCTTATCTATCATTGTGCCAGTACCAGGCTGTGTTGATGACTACGGCTATATAATAGGTTTTAAAGTTTAAGAGCGAAAGTTCTCCTACTTTGTTTTTATTTGTTTAAGAAGGCTTTATTTATTCTGGGGTGCTTTCCTTCCCATAGGAAGTTGGTGATAAGTTTTTCTATTTCTTTGAAGAAATGTGGTGAGATGCAGATTGAAATTGGTTTGAATTTGTAAACATTTGTCCTTTTCTGTCTGGTTAATTTAACCTACCATAATGATGGCAAGATTTATCCCTCTTGTAGCACGTATCAGAAGTCTGCTTCTCTTTCTGGCTGAATAATATGTCATGGTGAGATATCACATCGTGTCTGTTGACAGACAGGTGGTCTGTCTCTACAGTTTGACTATTGAAAGGCGTGCCTCAGCGAATGCTGGAGCACAAGTTTCTATGTGAGTCCGTATTTTCAAGTGTTTTGGGCACGTTTCTAAGAGGAGAATTGCTGAGTTAGAAGATAATTCTGTTTATCTTTTTTTTAGGAATCTCAATTACTTTTAAGTAAAAGTGTTCTCTTGACAATTTCCAATTTGGTTTTGTAAAATCACACAATGACTCCAGTTATTTCGAAAGGTAGGATGGCAATCTTTTTTTTTTTTTTTAATCATTTTATTAGGGGCTCATACTACTCTTATCACAATCCATCCATACATCAATTGTGTAAAGCACATTTGTACATTCATTGCCCTCATCATTCTCAAAGCATTTGCTCTCCACTTAAGCCCCCGGCATCAGGTCCTCATTTTCCCCCCTCCCTCCCCGCTCCCCACTCCCTCATGAGCCCTTGATAATTTATAAATTATTATTTTGTCATATCTTGCCCTGTCCGACGTCTCCCTTCACCCACTTTTCTGTTGTCCGTCCCCAAGGGAGGAGGTCACATATAGATAGGATGGCAATTTTAAAAGCAAAATATTTCTATTCCTTTTATCTGGGGCTCAGGAGGAAAGGTGTATGGATAACTTTAGCTCACTGAACAGGAGCCCCTGAGAAAGGAAATTGTTTCTTCCATGTCCAGCACTGTACATGGTTCCCCATCCTGGTGTGATCTGATGGGTTCTAAAGAGATTTACCCCCTTCTTTCCCTCTGTGTTTTTCAGGGACTCCTTTCTGGTTCCTAAATATAACTTTCATCTCATTATTTCACTACCTTAGAGCTTAAAATGACTCATTTGGGTCTCTGTAATTTATGGCTCGGGCTGAAAGAGTATATAGAAACACTCCGCCCCTAGCAACAAAGGTGGTTATTTCCCACCGTCCCACCTTCATGGTGAGTCGACACCTTCAACACTCAACTTCTCGATGACATGGAAGGAAAGATGGTGATAAGACTCGACGTATACAACACTTAACTGCTTTAAAAGCAATCCCACTTGCAGTAGTTCAAGGAGTCCTCCCAGCACATCTCTGAGTTAGTTGTAGGGCGGAGGGATGGTTGTTATTCCCATTTCATCAAAATACTCTCGAATGATTCATGCAGCATTTTAGAGCTGCTAAATTGCATAGCGGGGATCTGAAAACAAGTCTTATTGACTCGAATCCTGCGTCTGTCTCACTCATT